CTCCCGCAGGCCCGCCTCCTCAGGGGCTTGTCTGGTGCGGTTTTGACCATCTCCAAGGGCTGAGACCCTAAAGCCACTCTGGGCCCCTGCTCCAGCTTTTGACAGTCTTCTTGGTGAAAAAATTGTTTAATTTCTCGCTGAATGCACGAGATCTGTAAGATTTTTTGCAGGGGGAAAGGCGCTCGGTGAACTGACGTGGCTGGCTCTGCTCACCCGGCCAGTCAGTGGCGGGGAAGCGGGGTGCCGTGGGTCAAAACGAAGGTTGTTTTCTGCAAGGGGGGGCACCGAGTGTGGCCATGGCCTCGGGGCCTGTGTTGGGGCCGGTGGTTGCTGGCGCCATTCCCCTGTGCCTGGCGAAATGGCCCTGAGGGGACATGGCGCATGGTGCTGATGAGGGAGGGGTGGCTGATGGGGCAGCGCCGTCAATGGGGGAACACGGCTGGTGGCATGGGGGAACATGGCTGCTGGCTGGGGGGGCACGGGCTGACAGGGGAGGCACGGCTAATGGGGCTGATGGGGGTGACATGGCTGACCGGGGGACAGCACCGAGGGAGGGGACATGGCTGATAGGGGGACACTACTGAGGGGACACGGCTGATGGGGACAGCACCGAGAGAGGGGCCATGGCTGACAGGGGGACACCACGGACAGAGGGGACATGACTGACAGGGGGACAGCACCGAGAGAGGGGACATGGCTGATGGGGATATCTCTAACAGAGGGGACACGGCTCGGCTGACAAGGGGACAGCACTGGGAGAAGAGACACGGCTGCCAGAAGGGACATGGCTGACACGGGGACAGCACCGAGAGAAGGGACACGGCTGACAGGGGGACACTACTGAGGGGACACGGCTGACAGAGGGAGAGCACCGAGAGAGGGGCCATGGCTGACAGGGGGATATCACTGACAGAGGGGACACGGCTGACAGGGGGACAGCACCGAGAGAGGGGCCATGGCTGACAGGGGGACACCACTGGCAGGGAGGGACACGGCTGACGGGGGGGACATGGCGTATGAGGGGAA